TAATAGATTTTTGGCCTAAATTGTGCTCCAAAAACGTGTAGGATTCTCCTTCTACAAGTAGAATCCAACTCCAACGCTATTAGATGACTTTTCTCCCAAGACACTTTTTACCCAAGTCTTGTCCAGGTCTTTACTACGTATAGCAGGGACCACAAAAATAATAAGAGGCTACCAATTATAGCATTAATTTGAAATTAGCATGAATTAATTCTTACTATAATTAATTGCAATTTATTCCACTAAAAAACTGCAATTGAACTCCTCAATATGAATTTTGAAAATTCAATAACACTTATTTTAACTCCCTATGTTAAGATCTCAAATACCAGTTAATTAAATTAAATCACTGAAAATTTAATTTAATCAACTAATTAAATCCTTTACAATACCGCTTAAACTATTTCATGTGATGGATACAAAATCCACCGGCCGAATTTTCACATGAAAACTTATAAGCTTACATAAAGGGATATCATCAAACTCAAAACCGAGTCATGGATTCTATCAACTAATTATTTCTCCATAATGTTATTCGTTACTATCCAATCTATAAGGCATACACTAACTCTAAATAGAGTCGTACCTTTTGATAAATCAAAACAATAAATAAATTACATTGATCATAATAATTATATCAAGATTAGGAGTATAAACTCATTTAATGAAGTAGAGAAAATATTTTATATATTCAGTACAAAAACATCTTTTCTCTACTTAGTCCATTCAATATACACTGAGTATACTAGCACAAGAAGTTGGAGTAAAACTACTCCCATAATCAAGACAAATTATACTATAATCTTGTGCTACAATCATCAAGATATTTTGTCCAACAATATCTTTGATTGTGAACATAATTTATTAACTATGAGAACCAACAATTTAATCTTCTGTGTATGAGCTAAGACTTCATACACTAAATTGTTTACTACATAACTAAAAGGACACACATGTAGCAAATGATCTATTTAAAATAGTACTTTATTGAATTGAATAAATTAAATAAATAATTATTCCATAAAGAATAAGATATAATACTATGTCTAAACCGCATGGTTAATAGTATATCCCAACAGAGTTTACTGTAAAATTTACACACACATACACACACACATATATACACACACAAAGCAACAACAACAACCAGTAAAATTCTACCAGTGAGGTCTGGGGATGGTAGAGTGTACTCATACCTTACTCCTATCCCGGAGGAGTAGAGAGGCTGTTTCCGGGAGATCTTCAGCTCAGAGACAATAGATCCGTGATAACAACAGAAATATATATATATATATTCCTATTTGAATGATGAAAATATCTGTACAAAGAGCATATTAGTAGAGTAATACAGCAGGGAACAAGAAGTTTCATATCATGTCAGCTGAAATTGTTTGACAATAAAGCATCTATAACTTTTAAAATTGATTAGATTCGATGTTATTTTGAATTGCTTTATTAATTGGATAATGACTTGTGCAATGCAATAACTTGATAGTTAAGTTTTCAAGACCATATGACTTTGGTGTCTAGTAACATGAATTGTATTATAAAGAGAATTTGGTGAGACAGTTGGAATCAATATAAATAGAGTTTTTGCGTTCGATTTTAGAGAATGAAAAATCTTTCAAAAGAGAGTAACTTATATTTCTTAGTGAATTTATTTGACGTGAATCCGATTTAATCCGGCCAATAATAGTTAAACCGGAAAAAGAATAAGTGTATATATGTTCTATTGATTGAAAAGTCAATTGTATTACCCTTTATTTTTGGCTTGGTTGTACATATGTTGCTATTACACCAAGTCAGAAATTTTATAGCAAAGCTTAAACTTACACGCACCCCCTTTTTAATTCCAATAAGCCAATCATGTCTTGGTTCAAACTTTAAAGAAGCTACTCCCTTTTGCAAGCTTTGTGTTTGGTGTTTCACGTTGAAAGTATAATGTGTCGTAGTTGGTATGTGAAAGCTACTAAAGAACTGGTAAAGCCATTGAAAGCTCATGGAATAGAGAAAATTAACTAAGTAGATTTTATCATTTTATTGTAGCATATTGTTTGCTCTGGGCAGAATACCTAAAAAAAATCTTAAACTTGGCACGAATTATTAGTTATAGCCCTAAATTATTCGTGGTTTTGATTATCCCCTTAAACTTGGTCTATTGAGAATTATTACCCCTAGACGCTAATGTGGTAAAGAGTGTGGGTGCACCCTCTTTTAAGCACGTGGGAGTGCAGAAAAATTAACAAATCAGCTTCTAAATAGGTTATTTTTTAACTTTTAATTGTCATATAGTCATATATAATGATTTATTTGTTACAACTATGTATTTTTTCTTGCTTCATGTTCATCTTAACATACAATGTGGACTTTACTCTAACTTTTATTCTTTTTAATTTCTTCTAAGATATAATGTATATTTGTTCCAACTGCATATTTCTTTTTTTATTTTTTGACGAATTTGTAAAAAATTTGGTTGGAACTCCATCATTTTAGTCAAATAAAAAACTTTTAGCACAAATAATGGAGTACCAGTTGTGTATATTTTCTATTTTTTATATATATAATGTCTATTTATTTTAATTGTGTATTTTTATTTTCGAGTCAAGTCAATAAAAAAAAATTGGCTACAGCTCCATTATTTTTTGCCAAATAAAAAGAGTATAGCCAAAATAATGAACTTGAAATTGTAGACTCTTTTTATTTCTTCTTTGGATGCAATGACTATTTATTTCAGCAATGTATTTTACTTTTTCAGGTAAAATCTGTAAAAATAAATAAATTAGAACATCATAATTTAGAGCTATATAAAAAATTATAGCCAAAATTTATAACTTTTTAGATACCTTGATTATTTATTTCAATTGTATATTATTTTCAGGTCAAATTCAAAAAAGAATAATTAAAACTTTATTATTTTTAACTAAATAAAAAAATTAGCCTAAATAATGTAGTTCTAGTCAAGTTTTATTATAAATTTTTTTCGAAAAAAATTATCTAAAAAAGTAACATACTTAAAAGGATAAAAAAAAAATATCTTATTTTTCAGAAAAATACCATATAGATAGAAAAATCTACATGACAGGCGAGTACATACCACTTTTCTGGAATGAGATCGTCCAAGGAGTAACAACTATCGAATAACCAAATATATAGAGTATTTAAAACCATAAATAATTTAAGAATATAATCAATAATGCGTGCCAAGTTTAGAGGTGTTTCAAAGAAGAAAATACATAAGTAGCCACCCGAACTATACACCAAATCTCTGTTACACACTTTCTGAGGACCAATATCACCTTACACATGCAACCTTTCAAAATTGTATCTAGTACACACTACTTTTTTCTTGACCAGCTTTTTGTTTGGAGATTGCATCCACGTTCCAATTAAAATGCGACATGTGTCATAACTCATTTGTAATAAATACTACTCCATATATTTAACATAAACTTTAATTGATTAAATTAAATAAAAAATATTATGTCATCTTCCCCAAGCAACCCCTCTCCCCCCTCTTTCCATCAGCTTCCTCCTCGGTCATGTAGCTCAGAAGAGGAGAGCAATATCATCTACCATCTATCGAGAATAATACATGGAGCTCAGAAGAGAAGAGCAAAATCAAGCGCAACAAACGAAGCTAAGAATGCCATCATCATTATCAATGCAATAACATTTTCAGATCCGAGAATGAAAGAGATGAAAATTGAAATTGCAGCTTCTCCTTCCTCCATTTTCCTCCTCCATTTTCAGATCTCATACCACGACCAAACAAAGCAAAGCAAATTTAATTTCTCGTTTCCATGAATTAAAGAATTTCATTGTGAAAAAATCTTCAATCTTCTCTTATAATTTTATCCATTCTCATGAAATGCAAAAAACTATTCCTTTTTATCTATGTAAAAATTGGATGTTTTGGTAAATTTTAATAGTAGAAAAAGAAGTAAGACAATTTTGGAAGGGTAAGAGACGAAATGGAAGGTTTAATTTCTGCTATTCTTTGAATTCTTTATCATGAGTTTTCATGGATTTTTTTAAGCTACAAGGGGAAGAGACGACACAAAGGGAAATTTGGGGAAGACAAGTGAGGAAAGGGGTGGGTTTGGGGGGGAGGAGCTGGTAGTTTTGGGAAGACAGCATATTTTCATTTGATAAAAAGGAAAAATAAGAAAAATGTTATTACTTTGACACGTGGCACTAAATACGGAATTAGACAAAATATTTTTCAAATTTTACGCGCTCAATCTTTTTGTTAAGCATGCTCGTGCCACGTAGTAAAAGTNTTTTACGCGCTCAATCTTTTTGTTAAGCACGTGCGTGCCACGTAGTAAAAGTGGTGTGTACTAGATATAATTTTGAAAGATTGCTTGTGTAAAGTAATATTGGTCCTCAAAAAGTGTGTAACAGGAATTTGATGTATAGTTCGGGTGGCTACTTATGTATTTTGCCTTCAAAGAATGATTGCTCTACACAATCCAAAATGGTCCGGGCCGTTAAAGGTTCTTATTAAAATAAAGCTTCAAAAGGACAAAAAAGAAGAACAAAAGCAAAAATGAAAAAGTAGAAAAGTTAAAAAGATGAACTACAAAAGATTCTGTGAATCTTCCATTATTCTTTATTTGTGTTTTCATCTTCTTTTTTCTACAACAAAGAAGACAAAATATGGCGTAGGATAACATAATAACATGGTTGTGTATTAAATTATATTGATAATGCTGTTGTTGTTTTCATTATTAATAAAATAAGATAACGTTTAATTTAGTACTCAAAATGTTATATTTTCAACAACGTAAGTGTTCACAACTTAAATCGATTAGAAATATGAAGGCAGTAGCAAAGAGCTTCTAGTAATATATATATATATATATATATATATATATANATAAAATATAAAACAGAAAAAAAAGAATGAAAAACAAAAAGGGCCGAAGCCCATTAGAATTTTTAACGTGTCAAGGTTAAGGATTTAAAAAAAAAACAAAGATACTTTGTCTTCTGAAGGAAACGAGAAACCGAAAACGAAAGAAAACAAAAGCAGAGAAAGAAAGAAGGAAAAGAGAAAAGGGGGAGGAAGAAGTGGGTGCACTACGTTGAAGCCATAGCTATAACTGTTGAGGAATTCTAAGCACTAATTGTCTTTTACGGGTATTATTTGAACTTCTTCTTCTGATAAATTTTAATTTCGATTCTCTTGATTGGAAGATTCTATAGAGTAATAGAAATTACACTAGTTCATTCACACAATTGAGAATTTTCTTCCTAAAGAATCAATAGAACTGTATGAAATTTGGAGTAATAAATTTTATGAATAGGTTGGAGTTGATAAATTAGTAATTACTCATATGGGGTAAAATATAAATCCACAAATTAAGACTCAAGCATGAACCCCGATGATTAGGTATTCTAAAATAGCTATGAATTTGCCTAAATAAGGAAATTAACATGAGATCGATATTATGTAATTATAGATTGATTGGAGGAATTTGTACGAGTTGCTTGAGGTGAAACAGTTGGTATTTTGGCACGAGTACTGTGAGTAGTAATTTTACCGCAATTTGTATTTTCATAACTTGCATGATTTATACATGATTTTTAAGATGAATATGTTACCGATTATTTTGAGTTACATGTGGGACAAGTCTTTTACTCGATATGATACCGAAATAGTTATTTGAGATGGTTACCGTGGTTTTAAATATTTTCGTTGTCACTAGATCTGTTTTACTGTTACTTGAATTTAATGTTATCGAAATGAAATTATATGATTTGATAAGAATTGAAATGCCCTATATAGATTTAAAAGATTTTCTATGAGTATATATGGATTACAGAGACAAGTATAAATGGGAGTAGATATTGAAGGATCTCGTAGCTAACAGCGGATTCGTTAGACCTGGTGCATCTTGTAATTACAGATTACCGTTATAGCTCTCACTAGTGGGAAGGTAGAACTAGCATACCGTTACCGATTTTCCTCGAGTAGGGGCTACCGTTATATTTGACTTCTTGCGAAAAATTTCACAATTATACCGATTACATGATCCGTTCATTGAAACCTCCAAAATATGAATATTGATATTATACAGTGGTTACCGAGCTTATTACTGAATTATTAATTGTATTATACTACAAGAAAAACATGATGAGGCTGAAAATTATTTATTATTTCTGAAAGGGCATTTTTATGTTATTTTCTATTGAGATACTAGCATGTTTCTGACTTGTCCCCAATAAAAACGGTTGTGGTTAAGTGTTATTACTCATTGAGCTAGCGACTCATTCCCCGCTAATTATTTTTTTTCAGAGACAGCAGTTGACGCGGGCGAGGATTTCGTTAATTAGAGCGCACAGGTTGAGAGTTCTTGGTGAGCCTCGCACTTGTTCGCGTGGGCGGAAACTTTATCAATTGTTATGGTCTTTTCTTTGAACTCTTAGAGCCGCTCCATAGTCATTATTTTAGTGTCATGAGTATTCTTTTGTTATTATAGTCTTATGTTGAGTATCGTTCTCATTTATCAAAGTTGGAGATAAATTAGTATTTCTAGTGGTTAGTTGGTGGTTTAGTTATGGTGGAGACTTTTATTGGTTAATTGACAAGTTGTCAATTGTTTGATATGATATTAGAATGTTTGGTTGCTAATTTGAGACAGGAAAATTTTTGGGATAGTCCAAAAATAGGGGAAACTATGTCCGAATTTTTGTAAAATTACCGATGAGGCTTACTTGGGGCACTTGCTCCTAGGTGCCGGTCATGATCCTAAATTGGGTCGTGACAAAGTTGGTATCAGAGCCTAGGTTATTCTTGTGACTAATGGAGCACATGTCGGTAGTAGAATCTCAATTATGGTTATGTAGTCGGTCATTCCCATAATCATGATTCTGCGAAGGCGTGATAGGATGTGTCTTGTCTTTCTTTCTTATTCCTTCGTACGTGTATGGCGATTAGGGTCAAATAACTGAATCTGTTATTGTTATCATTTTCTTGTATGACTTGGATCGATCACCTTATAATAGAATTTGACTAGAGGTTCAAAGACATCAAATACTGCCACTAGGCAGGAAACCGTCTCCCGGTAAAGAAAAGCAACAGAAGTAGTAGACTAGGCCAATAAAAGGAGCGTTGTTTCATAATGAGAGTCTTACCTCTAAGATGGGTAATACAGTCCATTCCTGAAGTTAGTATGAGTTCACTATTATACTAATAGTAGAGTGACATCACAAAGGTTCTTACCTTTATGGAAGGGGAAATTGAGATCTCGATGGATACAATTGATAGACAAGAGAAGAATGGGAAATAACAAAGGGCTCCAGAATCCTCAAATATTTAGATTAAGTCTGACACTGAGATAGTTTCTCTAATGTAATTTCTAAAATTGAAACCACAAAGTTTACCATTTTTGTTAATGGTGAGGATCCTCATAGGCTCTTGTCGATGTGAAAATACTTGAAGCATTATGAGCTCTAAGATGTTAAAATAAGAAATCTGTGGAGTTAGCAACTTGCACATTGGACAATATGACCAATACATGGTATGATAATGTACTGTTGAAATTAGGACTGCACAACTGATTTGAAAATGAGTTCACTAAATTTTCTTGAAAAGTCAAAAGAGTGAATCTAGTAGTTAAGAGAGGATTCAGAAGATAGAGGCACTAACATATAATACCAGATTTCTCAATTAGATAGATACACATCATCTCATATTTAAAGACTAACATAAGGAAATGCTTAACCTTCTAGACATAGTTGTAACCCCATATATGGATAATATGACCTATTTTGTTGTAGTTAAGCGCGTTAGAAAGATTGAAAATATGGACAGGATAGGCATACAACTAAAGTTTGATGAGAGAAGAACAAGACTTGGCAATTTTCCGACACGCATTTAAATGGTCGTCAAAAAACTTTGGTATGTGAGATATTGACATGATCTTTTTGGATTGTTGCTTATGTGGGAGAATCTGAGTTAATTAAATATGTTCAACAAGCTTGTCTTCAAGTTGAGAATAGAGATATCCTAGTTGATTTGATATTACTTAATGGGGTCTATTTAACATATTGACGGGTACATACTTATTATCTTCCTGCCAAGCTATCCTCAATTGTTAGGAAAGATAATTAAATTCGAGATATCGAATTAACCTTATTTTATTCTAAAAGGGGTCAAGTTCCAAAGATCGGTAAAGTCATCTCTTTTATGAAAGCTCAACGATAACTAAAGAAAGATTATTTCGGTCTCTTGGCAATGATAAGGGACACAAGAAAGTAAATACTTAGTTTGAAAAGGTACTCATGGTGAGAATCCTCCAATATATTTCCTCGAGAATTTACCAAGACTATCGCCAATACAAGAAATAGATTTCGGTGTTGATTTAGTACCTGACATGCAGCCCATAGTGATACCCCCATATAGTGTGGCACTAATAGAATTGCTAGAGGTAAAAGAATAATTACTAGATTTATTAGATAAGATTTTTTTTTAAATCGAGTTTATTACCAATGGGTGCACCGATATTGTTTGTATAGAAGAAGGAAAAAATGACTCCATACAATGTGCATTGACTGCAAGTACCAAATAAGATAATAATACATAATGAATACCCATAATTTCATATAGAAGACCTGTTTAATTAGTTATAATGAGCTGCTCGCTTTGTAAGATTGCTCGTTGCTTTTGGTTATTATCAACTCAGAAACGGAAAGGAAGACATTCCTAAGAAAACCTTTAGGACTCGCCACTGTATTATGCATTCTTACGATGCTTCAGACTGACAAATTTTCCAGCCGCACTCATGGACTTAATGAACAGGGAGTTCAAGTTGTTTCGGGACAGACATGTCGATTTATTTATAGATAATATTTTAGTATGTTCTAATACCTAAGAAGAATATGAGGATCATTTGAGAATTGTGTTGCAACCACAGAAATCGACATATTGTTAAGTTCTCAAAAATAATTTTTTCTAGACTTTGTAGCATTCCTCAAGCATGTTGTATCAAGGAATAAGATTATGATGGATCCTAAGGAGACAAGCATTTCAGCAATATCCAAGACCCACTATTCCTAAAGAGCATCGTAACTTCTTGAGTTAGATAGGCTATTTTAGGAGTTTGGTGCATGATTTGTCTAAAAAAAAAAGCTTCTCTAACCAAGCTAACATAGAAGAACCCGAAGTTTCAGCAGGCGGAGAAAAGTGTATAGATGCTTTCATAAGCTCAAGACATATTTGATTGACACACCAATGTAAGCATTACCACTAGATTTCAGAGATATTTGAATATTTGGTAAAAGTGATGACTGGAACTACTCAAGGACTATAATTGTACTATTCTCTATCATCCTCGAAAGATATTTGTTGTGGCTGATGCGTTGAGTAAAATATTCTATATATATATATATAACTTCGGCAATGAGACTTTTGAAAACAAAATGCACAGACTAGAAGGTGCAAGTATTATATTTATTATGAAAAATTCAGAGGCATTATTGGCTGATATTCAATCCAAGTTTTTATTGGTGTGCACTTATAAGACTATTCAATACGAGGATGAGCGATTGCTCTAAGTACAAGAGACTAGGCCCTAACTGGTGCAAGGATATGACTTTTAATAGTGATGGTATTCTTCGACTAGGTAATCAATTAATGGCGGCAAATATATATGGGTTGAGATAGACTATACGTGATAAAGCTCACAACTCTAGATACAATATATATTTCAGGTCCATAAGATGCATCATGACTAGAAGAAAATTGGATTGGTTGGAAAAGAAAGAAGAAAGAATTCGTTAACTTTGTTTCTAACTATTTGATAGTCAGCATGTTAACGCAAACACTTGCTACTCGTAGGCCCACTACAATAACTCAAGATTCTGAAGTGGAAATACAATAGAATTACAATACCTTATATGAACGAATTACCCAAACCATTAGAGGCATGAGTATGTGTGGGAAAATTGTAATTTGGCTTACAAAGCAGGCACATTTCTTTCTAGTCAAAACTCCTTACAGTGAGGAAAAATATGCATAGATATACATGAATAAAAAATACTCCGACTCAATAGGGTTCTATTGTCTATCATCTATGATAGAGGATTACATCTATGATAGAAAATCTTTTCAAGGAGCATTGGGTACACGATTAGATCTTAGTACTGCATTTCATCCATAGACAGACGGGCAGTCTGAACGTACTATACACATTTTGGAGGATATGTTGAGAGCTTGCATTCTTGAGTTTGGAGGTAGTTGGGATGCTTATCTACCTTTAGCTGAATTTGCTTACAATAATAGCTTCCAGTCCAGTATTCAAATGGCACCGTACGAAGCATTGTATGGTAGAAGATGTCGTTCTCCTATTGCATGGTTTGAAGCTGATGAGACTAACTTATTGGGACCTGATCTAGTACAAGAAGCTATGGACAAGGTCCAGTTGATCAGACAAAGATTGCTTGCAGCTCAAAATAGACAAAGTCTTATGGTGATAAGAGAAGAAGAGATTTAGCATTCACAATTGGGGACAAAGTGTTCCTACAAGTCTCCCCTATGAAAGGTGTGATGCGGTTTGGGAAAAGAGGCAAGTTGAGCCCCAGGTTTATAGGGCCGTATGAGATACTAGACTGAGTGGGAGCGGTGGCTTATCGTTTGGCACTTCCTCCTGAGTTGTCCTTTATTCATCCAGTTTTTCATGTCTCAATGCTAAGGAAATGTATATCAGACTCATCACAAGTGCTTGAATCACCTGCTATTAAGGGTGTTCACGGTTTGACGGAAAATCGATCCAAACCGAAAATCGAACCAAACCGATTAAGTAAACCGATAGTTTTCTTGATTTGGATTGGTTTTGGTTTTAAATTTTAAAAACCGATAATATTTGGTTTGGTTTTGATTCTATTTTAAAAAATCGAAAAATAAACCGAACCAAACTGACTAATTATATACAAAATTTAATAATTATTTATATACAATATAATATCTTTTTGTAAATAATTTTAAATATTTTATGCATTTTAATTGTTATTTTGAATTTTTTGGTTTATCCTTTTATATCTTAAAAGATTGCCTAAGCCCAACAATAGGACTCGGCCAATTTTCTTTTCATTAAGAGACTCTAATTCTCTAACCTTCCGCACATACTTTTGCCTAACAGAATAGTTAGAAAAAAAACCAACACAAGAGTAAAGAAAGCAAATTCAAATTGCAAGACAACAATGGCTAAAGCTTGAGAAAGTAAACTTTTAGTTTGTTTTTAGTTCATTCTTTTCATATAAACAGGTAAATAAACTTTCAATTCTGAAAGAAATATATAAAAAAACATAAATTTAGCAAATTATTTTCAGATTGTTGTCTAGCGTTGTTTTACTATTATCGACTTATCATTAGCTTACTAAGAACCGAAAAACCGAATCAAACCGAACCAAACCAATAACAATCAAACCAATGGTTTGTATTTAATTTGGTTTGGTTTTGGTTTTAAAATTTTAAAAACCGATTAAATTGGTTTGGTTTTGGTTTTAATCAAAAATCGAACCGTGAACACCCCTACCTGCTATACCGCTTGATGAGAAGTTATCTTACGAGGAGGAGCCGATCGCTATTGTTGATAGACAAGTAAGAAAACTATGGTCAAAAGAAATATTGTTCGTGAAAGTCTTATGGAGAAATCATACAGTTGAAGAAGCTACATGGGAAGTGGAAGATGCTATGCGAGTCAAGTATCCTCACTTATTTCAATCTATACGTACGTACTTGAGTTAAATTTGGGGACCGAATTTCATAAGGTGGGGAGGATGTAGGGCCCCAATATTTTAAATAAGAACATATTAGATATTTAGCAAATAAAATATAAAACAAACAAATAAAAAAAAATAAAGGATGGAAAACAAAAAGGGCCGAAGCCCATTAGAATTTTTAACGTGCCAAGGTTAAGGATTTAAAAAAAACAAAGATACTTTGTCTTCTGAAGGAAAGAGAAACAGAAAACGAAAGAAAACAAAAGCAGAGAAAGAAAGAAGGAAAAGAGAAAAGGAGGAAGAAGAAGTGGGTGCACTGCGTTGGAGCCATAGCTATAACTGTTGAAAAATCTTAAGCACTAATTGTCTTTTACGGGTATTAGTTGAACTTCTTCTTCTGGTAGATTTTAATTTCGATTCTCTTGATTGGAAGATTCTATAGAGTAATAGAAATTACACTAGTTCATTCACACAATTGAGAATTTTCTTCCTAAAGAATCAATAGAACTTTATGAAATTTGGAGTAATAAATTTTATGAATATGCTGGAGTTGATAAATTAGTAATTACTCATATGGGGTAAAATATAAATCCACAAATTAAGACTCAAACATGAACCCCGATGATTAGGTATTCTAAAATAGCTATGAATTTGCCTAAATAAGGAAATTAACATGAGATCGATATTATGTAATTATAGATTGATTGGAGGAATTTGTACAAGTTGCTTGAGGTGAAGCAGTTGGTATTTCGGCACGAGTACTGTGAGTAGTAATCTTACTGCAATTTGTGTTTTCATAACTTGCATGATTTATACATGATTTTTAAGATGAATATGTTACCGATTATTTTGAGTTGCATGTGGGACAAGTCTTTTACTCGATATGATACTGAAATAGTTATTCGATGTCCGGTTCATTGAGAAAGAGATTAAAAAGTTGATCCTGAAGATTCGCTTTTAACTCTAAAACTTTGATATCGAACAGCTCATTATTTACCGCTGATAGAAATTCAATCGGAGTTCGGGTTTCATTTAAAAAGCTTCTCACTAACTCTTGAGATGATTACCATGGTTTTAAATATTTTTGTTGTCACTATATCTGTTTTACTATTACTTGAATTTACTGTTATCGAAATGAAATTATATGATTTGATAAGAACTGAAATGCCCTATATAGATTTAAAAGATTTTCTACGAGTATATATGGATTACAGAGACAAGTATAAATGGGAGTAGACATTGAAGGATCTCGTAACTAACGGCGGGTTCGTTAAACCCGTTGCACCTTGTAATTATAGATTACTGTTATAGCTCTCGCTAGTGGGAAGGTAGAACTAGCATACCGTTACTGATTTTCCTCGAGTAGGGACTACCGTTATATTTGACTTCTTGCGAAGAAGTCCACAATTATACCGATTACATGATCTGTTCATTGAAACCTCCCAAAATATGAATATTGATATTATACAGTGGTTACCGAGCTTATTACTGAATTATTAATTGTATTATACTACAAGAAAGCATGATGAGGCTGAAAATTATTTATTATTTCTGAAAGAGCATTTTTATGTTATTTTGTGTTAAGATACTAGCATGTTTCTGACTTGTCCCCAATAAAAACGGTTGTGGTTAAGTTATTACTCACTGAGCTAGCGACTCATTCCCCGCTAATTGTTTTTTTTCAGAGACAGCAGTTGACGCGGGCGAGGATTTCGTTAATTAGAGCGCACAGGTTGAGAATTCTTGGTGAGCCTCGCACTTGTTCGCGTGGGCGAAAACTTTGTCAATTGTTATGGTCTTTTCTTTGAACTTTTAGAATCGCTCCATAGTCATTATTTTAGTGTCATGAGTATTCTTTTGTTATTATAGTCTTATGTTGAGTNAATAATAATATATATTATTGTAAAAGCATGAATATAATGTTAGTTTACCAAAATAACCTTAAAATATTAATTGTCTTTTATATGTCTAAAAGGATAAAATTGTAATATTAGTTATTATGTCATACTAATTTCACTTGGGCAATGAAGCTGGACGATTAAGAATTTGCGTGTACTTCAAATTCAATTAAAACATTACTCCTTAGAATTTATAATAAACGATAGAGTTCCAATGCCACTCAAATTCACCTGTAAAATAACACAGGTACTTGTGTCAAAATAAGACATTGATAGTGGATGACAAGCAAAGATACATAAAACTAAAATACTCTTCACATTAGAAGTCAAATTATTTTTAAGCTTAAACTCCCACGGCAAATACAAAACAAGAGCTGTATTTTTATTTATTTTTGTTAGGAATTCATCATCCAGTATTCAATCGTGCTCTATCTAATATTAATCCCAATATTAATTAAAGCTATTAGATTTTATCTTTTTGAAAACATCTTATTATGAGTTTAATTGACCGATTTTTATATCCTTTGATATATTTCTTTAATGAAAAAAATTACTTTGAATAAATTGTAATATTTTAAAACCTATCAAAGAATTTTAAATCCAACTAAAATGTTATTCCGATATTTAGCTATAATTATGAAACTAGAAACCCTAAAACTAAATGTTCTTAAGTTTTCCTTCGCTGTGGCAATTCTAAAACGTGCGAATTTCAGATATTTGGAGAAGGGATAGCCTTTTATTTTCTCTTTAATTTGTCGTTAAACAATTTGTTTTCAAGCATTAATTTTTCTTAAAAATTTCTCAAAGCAGACCGATGCATGTTAGATTAGGTTTGAAATAAAATATATGTCGAAGTTTAATATTTTTTTGATTGGCTTATTTTCACAATTAAATTAAATGCGCTTATGCCATGAATTGTCTCCAAATTCAGGATTTATAGTAACTTTATATTCAGATAAAAATAAAAAGGCCATAAAATATTGTTAGTAATATATCATTTGTAGTGCTTGGTTAAAAAGGTTCTTAGAATATGCGTACACTTAACACTTTATTGCTTTAAATAATTTATCCGCAATCGATACAATATACTTTTTCAAACAATTAAAATAACCATTACAATTGTGCTAAAACATAGTGATGGTGCTAAAAGGGATAGAAAAGAAAATTTAACAATTTGGCACGATAGCTAAGCGTTAGTCAGTCGAAATAATTAACAAGAGCTTTAGAGGTATAATGAAAATTAATGAATCGTTTGATAAAAAGTAATGAAATCTGGAGGTAATTTTCATCAAATGTTACAAGTAGTTCCAAAATCGCCGAGAGAGAAGACTGTAAATAGGGGCTAGGTAAAAATTATACTTCTAACAAAATAAAAAAGATTCAGCCAACAATATATACAAGAGTTAGAATAGATCCAGCACTCATGCTGATTATGCATGAGTGTATAAGAAGAGATGATTTGATCTCCTTCCAAAATAATAGGTTATTAATCCCAACAATTATGGTAGTGCTAGATTTTTTAATAATTTTCATCATTAATTAAAAATGTAAGTTCTCCAAAATACATTAAGACAACAATTATAATAACTAGCAAAGATGAGTATATCGGTCAACTAGATAGAGATGTTGATTGTCAAATTATTTTGTGAAAGTAAAAATTTTCTCAGTTTGATCCGTAAAAGATGATAGTAATACATACTAAAATATTTTAATACAAAAGGGCTTTCACCACACATGTTTGTTGACATGCTAAAAAGCTTTTTCCTCATTCCTATAGTTAAAAACTACAACAAAACACAAGTTCTTATAGTTCAATCTATAAATGAATGCACATTGAAATTTCCTTACCCTCTTGGTTTATATAAATAATTAAAACGTAATAGTGATAATAACATATGCTCCTATATGGCATGAACTAGCTAAGAAAGTGATGTTTTATGAGATATAAGTCGCATGAAATTAATAGTATTTATTATTAGTCGTGTCTATGGTACTGTATTTACTTTACCGTTTTATTTTTTTCATCTTTTTCTTCTTAGTTAGATTGTTATGTGTGAAACACGTATATAAAAACTAGTATATATATATATTAGGGAAATAACACTGTATAGCCGCTCTAATAATATCGAGGCTAATACGGTGTCTTATCCGCAAACAATATTCATATCTAAACTTGTTGCTTTTGAAGAAATAATAGCCATCTATAAAGTTGTAGTCCATAATCTACTCATTATATTTACAAGTGTATGAAGGAGTAATTTAATTAGTTCTACCATAAAAGATTAGAACACACTTAAATTCATTGCATCTGTTCCTCGTTGTCGAATCATTATTGGTGGGCTTGCTAATGTCAAAACCATATAATTTTGCTAAGAGTGACAAACACTCATTGAATCACTTAAATAGAAAACAACAAATTGTCCTGTCTAGACGAAAATTCTTTAGCAATATTACTCCCCAATTATTTCGTGGTGATTATGTCAAGCAATTAAATAGTCAATTATTTTAGGGTTGGCCAAATAATTTAGTCCGTTCCATTGTAATTTGTATCTTCGTCCATCATTTCCTTTCCTTTTCTCCGATTTGATTCTGATTTTCGATAAAGCAAACCAATTATAGTTTTTAACTTATTTTGCAATTGGCAATGTATATTATGAAAATTATTTTTAAAAAGACCAATTTTATCCCATCCCTTTGTACATTTCTGCCCTTATATTTGCGGAAGCTTGTCGTCAATCAATATTTTAAGAAAAAGTTAATACTTGCTGGCTGCTGCAGAGCGAGCCAACTCCAATGCTAAATATCTTGAAGCAATCATGGAAATATAATAGTTTTGTTTGACTTAAAAGATATTAAAATCTTTTTGAACAAACAATCAAAGATGAATGGGTAAATCCTAGTCAAACTTAGTTAATTCCAGATCGAAAGGTTTAATAATGATGATTGCATAAGTGAAGAAGGAAATATCGATAATCTTATTAAGATTTAACATCACCCGATGAGAAGAGAGAATTACAATTGTTTTTCTTCCTCTTAGGATATAGAAGTGGAGCTTTTCTTTAGATTTCCTTTCTGAGAGAATACGGAAGCCCCTTATCGAAAGCCTTCCTTGGCTATATATAGTTGAAATCCCTTTACCCTAAATGTGACTTGACGCGTTTTGGTCAATAGTGCATTCTGGTTGTAGCTTTAGGCGTTGCTCTTTTCGATCTGTCGGATATCTCGGAGGAGAAATGGAGTGGACTTTGTTGACTTTCACTACCCGATTGCTGAAAAAGGGGTCGTGGGCAACCTGGTCGTGGTGGTCAGATTTTGACCAATACAGTTAGTCCCTCCGTCTGTCGGGGTCATCCTTTGTCGGGCTCGACAGACGGATCATGTTTGTAGCGAAGTCGATAGAAATCTGACCCCAACTTTCCATTCCTTAGTCACATTCTGTGGATTTTTTGGCGGAGTGGAGGTGTTCTTTCGATACTCGTGGACCATTGCGATAGTTTCGGAATCGAAAAGCCGGTTGGCACTGAAGCGTTGGTTCGTGGTTGCCACCATTATGACACACATTTCTGGGAAACTGAAACGTTTCATGCCCTATCAAATTCAAATGGTGACTCTTGGGTTTTCGTGCTCGGGGAATTTATGTCCCTTATAAATAGGACAACTTGTCATTTGATTGATTCACTTCATCATTTTTGTGAGAGAATTCTTCAGATATTGCTTTTTCTGATATCTCGAATTTCTGCTTATCTTCTTGCTCTCTGAAACCTTTCGTCTCTTCTTCTTATTACTTCTCTTGGCGAGTTTTCTGCTAAAAATGGCTGGTGATTCTTCTCGTGATAATCTTCCTGTTGTTAATCCGGTACCATAGAGTTCTGTTCAGATCACCGGAGAGGTGGATGCGATGGAGGATGAGAAGGTTCCCTCGGTGGATGAGATTCTGCCTCGCCCCGGGAGGGATGCGACTGACTTTAGTTTCGGCGGTGGAGCGGAGCCGGAACTCATCGCTTCCATTGTTAGAGAAAGGGGGATTTTAGATTTGATGGAACGTTGGGGAATCCCCAACTACGTCGATATACGGCCGGCGGAGAGGGACGACAGAGTTCACTTTGATCGTCCCGGGTATCACGCGTTCTACGCCTACCCCTTCATTGTAGGGTACACACTTCCTCTTCCCATGTTGGTGGTAGATTTTTGCCGTTACTACGAAGTGTGCCCCGCTCAGCTTTCGCCTTATTTGTACAAGTTGTTTCTTATGCTGCTCAAGTATGCGGAACTTGCCAGTCGTGAGGTCACTTTGGGCCATATGCTCAGCATTTTTGCTCCTCAACGGATTCGTAGTACGATGATTCACGCGCGTCCTCAGGGGTCGAGGGGTCTGGTGGTGAAGATGGACGACAGAACCAATCGTCGTTTCTATGAGAATTACTTTTATATGCGGACCGAGCACATTGTGGCGGACCCGATGGGATTCCCTGAGAGATGGAAATTCGCACGTAAGTTTGTGTCTTTAATTAATGAAATGTTTGGCCATTTTCTGCGGATGCTAAACCGTCTCGTCTTTTGCAGCTGAGAGATTGTCCCCACCGCCTGTCGAAGGGATTTGTGAATGGGTAGACGCCATTCTTCCCAATACAGTGGGAGTTGTTTAGTCTCTTATGCATCGTTCGTCGTTACCAGGGAAGGTGCGGAGAGCAAGGGTCCCTCATCTAACTTTTTATCAGTCGGCCACATCTGCTCGCCTTGTCGCCGTATCCACTGTACGACCTTCGTCGAGGGCTGCTTCAGTTGAATCTGCGGCCTTGGTTGCTCCAGCAATGGCCACTTTTCAGG